GACCTTGCCCCTAATGCATGGGCCCTTTTAAAGGCGATGTGCATGGGTCCATTCGTGGGTGGGGTATTGGCGTTCGATCGTTATGTGGGCCTAGGCAGCCTTCTTCAAGGAGGTTGGCTTCAATTGCCTCGAGAGGATCCAATCACTTCCTTAAGTGATCAGGGCCTGATTTTAATTTGGATCTTCTGCAATAGGCTCTAGTGACACTTTTGGTACAACAATATTAAATCGCCTTTATTTTTGTATGATTGTAGACGCAAAACTAATTGCACGTATAGAATCAAACTTGCCACCATAAAGACCAATTTTAATTATAAATTTCTTACTCAATTACATTAAACTTAGGTCACTCTAGAAAAGACTAACAACTAAGACGACCCTACAAATTATGAATTCGCATTTCACATAATTGTTTACTTGTTGATCCTTGCTGTGACATCACTACAAAATGTCACCAAATAATGGTGACTGTTGCCACTTATTTTTGTAGAGCATGTGAATACCTTGGTCCTGACGAACCACTTCAATTAAGTATTTATTTTTATTTTTTTGAATTCTACGGGGCCAACACATCAATTATAAAGCTACGCAACCACAATAGGATTAATCACAACCATGTATCAAGCTCATTACAAATATATATCATCATTGTACTCATGTGAGTCGAATATGAGATATACTTCACCAAATTTAGGATAATTATCAGACTAAGGGTATGTTTGGTTTAAGGGTTAGAAGTTTAGGAATGAGTATGGAATTGCGTTCCTAAGTTTGATAAGTGCACTAATGAAATATCTAACTCATGGATATGAACTTTCATGCAAGGGAGAATTGAACACCCTTGGCTCTCCTTGGGAATTTTTCTCCCCCTATATGGAAAAGCATTTCATGCACTTTTTTGGACTAAATTACCCATATTATAATTTTAAATATCACCTTTTATTAATAATTTAAAATAAAAAGAAGGGTGTTGTTGGAAAACTCAACAATTTTCCATTCATAACCAAACATGGAAATGAGATAAAGTTATATTTTCTGATCCACATTTCCCAACTTTCCCAAATATGGGAATGGGCATGTGTCATTCTCATCTCCTTGGATTAGATACGAGAGTTTCATTCCTAAGAATAATTTTTTTTTGGGTGAGATTAAGAAGTTCATTTCGTGAACCAAACAGACCTTAGGGGCTAGTTATTTATTTATTTTTCATATTAATGTTATGAACTTTTTCAAAACCTACGGATTTTGAGTCCCCTACTTCACTATAAGAAATTTAATTACTAAAGTTTCTTTTCATCATTTCTGGTAATGTATCACCAATCTGATGCCAGTCGAACTTAGGACGTGTTCAGCTTTGGATGTTACACAAAGCCAACATGCTAGCAAACAACTAGTTTTTTTGTACTCACTTATAATTTTAGATAGTAAATCATACATATCAACTTTTAAACGAAAGATATTTCTCTTATGTAATACTCTTTCTTCATGACATTATTGGAGCACACAATTCCCACACACTTCATGTCACCCAAATAAGTTGTATAATTTAGTTTTAGGTTTGAAAGTATTATAAGCATGAAATATTCAAGATCACCTTGTCAATGCGTTTAATTGAAATACAATGTTTCTTATAATAAACTATGGGGATTCTTTAATAAGTATTTTATGTTAAGAATTAGTTACATATTTCTAATCTCGAACCATTAAATTTCATGTATGTTATATATTAAATTTAATAACACATCTAATGAATGCAATCCAATAACCGAGATTAGAAATATGCAACCAATTCCATAAGCACAAAAAAAAAAAAAAAAGGTTACGCTTTTTTGAAAGAAAAAAAAAATTGGTTTATTAACAAAACCCTAGAATTGAGGAGACCACAAAAATCCAGACATAAACTTTTGGAGGAAACACCAAACATAAGTTAGTAGTCTGCGTAAGATTATGTTTGAGGAACCACCATATATTATGATTTTGTAATTCTTCCTGATTGCTTAATAAAATGTTGTCTTTCATAAAAATAAAGAAAAAAGGTTTGGTTTGACATAACTCTTTAACATCATATAAACACCTTAATTATTTAATTATTAATTGTTTTTGGCCTAAAACAAAGACCTTAATTTGGACTTATGTTAAAAAGTACAGTAAAACCACCGACTGAAGTTGAAAACAAGAAAAACCCTTCTCTCTCTCTCTCTCTCTCTCTCTCTCTCTCAGCGAAAAAAACATGGGCGCTTGTGCTTCCACTCCGACGCGGACAAGAAATGGAAGCAGAGGAGGACCGGCAGGATCAGATTTGATCAGACGGGCGACAAGCAGCATAGTGATCCACGTGGACGGTCGGATGCAGGAGTTGAAGCTACCAACGCAAGCCAAGCACATAACGTCGCAGAATCCCAATCATTTCCTTTGCAACTCCGAGACCATGTCTGTCGGGACGTGCGTGCCCCACGTGCCTGAAGAGGAGGAGCTCCAACCGGGCCAAATTTACTTCCTGTTGCCACTCTCTGAAGCCCAGAAGCCGCTCTCTCTCCCGGACCTCTGCGCTCTGGCAATCAAGGCCGCCTCCGCATTAGGCAAAGATGGTGCTCGCCTAACTCCCAAGCTCAATATTCATTGAACTTGGTTTTCTTTTTTCTTTTTGGTATGATATTTTTTTTGGTGTTTTTTTTTAATCAAAATCAAATTGAGTGATATATAGTCAAACACATTTAAATGTTAGCAATGTGAAGCTTGAGATCGATTTTTTTATTATTATTTTAAATTTAAAAAAGTGATATTCTAATTATTCTAATATACGAGTAGATGATACAGTTCGAATAAAAAAAGAGATGAACACATTGCCATAGCTAACTACAATAAACGCATTTGAATGTTAACGATGTGAAAATTGATCGGCCTAAGAGGACGAACACACCGTCGTGGCTAACTTGTTTAACCCACATTGCTAGCTTGAACCTTTTTTTTATCTTTGGTTGTCAAAATGATTAGGACTGAGGTAGGTTTTATTTTGGTGTGGGTAAATGGTAACGCTTTGACCAAAAAAACATGGTACGGCTTTGACCCAAAAGAAATGGTAGGCTTTGACCAACATGTAGGCCGAAGCCCGAGTTCAACAATCATTTGAGCCTAGTTCTTTGATGAAGCCCAATACCTATTAGGCCAGTCGTAATTTACGCATACAAGTTGATGAATAAGTTGTGGAGATACTAAGGCCCGTCTGGTAACGTTTTCGGAGGATGTTTTCTGAGAATATTTTCAGAGAATGAAAACAAGAAAACAAATTTGCATTTTCAGGAAATGAAAATGCGTCTGGTAGATTAATAGAAAACATCTTTAGAAAACAAAAACAATGAAAACGTGTCTGGTAGTACAATTTGATAATAATAATAATAATAATAATAATAATAATAATAATAGTAATGTAATTGACTCACTAGTGTAGTGGTTTAGAGCAATTATTTTCCCAAGAAATGTCCTGAGTTTAAGTCATATCGTGTATGTGAGCAGTGGTGGAGCCAGGATTTCACATTAGAGGGAGCTCTTCACAAAATTTTAAAAAGTAATTCGAATAGAAGCGCTCACACACTAACCGGTTAATAAGTTAATGCAATACTAACTACTCGATTTAGCCCACTTCATAATATCATTTCATATTGATTAATAATTTATCAACTCATTAAAATCATAATTGTCTTCAATTTCATATTTTAATATTGTTGAATATTAATCTCATCATATTCACTATTAAAGGTTCAAAAGTTAATAATTTATATTCCAATAGAGAGAAGAAGTACAAAAAAATTTCATAAATCCCAATATTACGGTACCCTACTTAGACATATAAAAAGGGAGGGAAAAAAATTCACAAAGCTTAAGTTAAACAAAAGAGGAAAAGAAAGAGAAAAAAGAATTAGGTGTTTTTAGTGCAAATATCATAACTTAACCTAGAAGTTTTAAGGGAAAGTAGAAGAGTGATTTATAAGTTTTATGCTCACTGACTTTGCAGCTCACTTTCTTGCTGATTTGGGTCATAAGTTACCATAATGCATGCATACATGAAGGTATGGGACTATGATAAGTAGGGTGGTGGTTGTACTCGAAGCGTCACAGGGTGCGTGCAAAAAGTTTGTCTTCTAGTTCATATTGCCAAGCTATGTATGCACGTGACTAGCCTCTGGGGCTGACCTCAATGGTCCTAGGCCAGTGGTCCTTATCAAAGATAAAAGTCAACGAGGTCACGTGCACTGTTGTGGGAAATTTTAGTACGTTGTTTTGGTCAATCAAGGAGGCACAACGCCACGCTGGCTCTTATTTACCTACAATTGAATCGAAACCATCGACCAACTCCGCCGCTGGAATTCTGGGATGATGAACGAACGACACACAACAATATTTTATGACTTTAGCTAAAAAAGAAATGCTCAATTATATTTCAAACTATTAGATTTGTTAAATATATTTCAATACACTATTCGGTACGGAATACTCTCAATAAAAACATTGACGACGATTATTTTATTACAATTTTAATCGATTAACAACTTAAGCTACAAGTTTTAAAGTGACTATAATTAAGTATAACATTACATTTTCTATCGATAAATTCAGAGAAAATGTCACGTGTTACTAACGTGTAAACTTGATATAAATCGTTTGTTCCGACAACTTAAAAGAAAAAAGATATAAATCGTCTGATTAAGTTTCTGAAATTACTGGCAGTCTAACAAGGTAGGAGAGTTTTCTTTATAAGTGGTCTACAGTTAGCTCTCGTTCCCCACTTCTTTGATGGTTTGCAGATCCACAGGTGAGAGAGTGTATAAATACAATGATTAACTACTAATTACCAGCCCATCAATTATCACTCATTTATGATATGACTTAACATAGAGTCAAACTTGCTGCTTTTAACATTACTCACACAAGAAGGGCAAACCAGTAACTTCACTTCATTCCTTTTACTGACACAGAGGCCTCTATAAATAATTGGACACGATTTAACCAGATCAAGATCAAAATGGCCCATGCCTTGCTTCTTGTGCTAGCAGTGGCTCTAGCCACCGTCAGCTCAGCCCATGTTGCAGCCGCTCAGCTCAGCCCAGCCACCCCTCCTCTCTCAAATGCAGCCACAGAATACCTCAAAGCTCACAACCAAGCCAGAGCTGCAGTCGGCGTTGAGCCTCTCAAGTGGAGTGAGTCTCTGGCCAATGCCACAAGCAGACTTGTGAGGTACCAAAGAGACAACAAAGCCTGCAACTTTGCTAACCTCACCAGTGGCAAGTATGGAGGCAATCAGCTGTGGGCAAGTGGCCAGTCAGTCACACCAACCATGGTTGTGGACACGTGGCTCAAGGAGAAGGACTTCTACAACCACACTGACAACTCTTGTGTACCAAATCATAGTTGTGGTGTGTATACCCAGGTAGTGTGGAGGAAGTCTGTGGAGTTGGGCTGTGCACAGGCCACCTGTGTGAAGGATCAGAGCAGTTTGAGCATTTGTTTTTATAACCCTCCTGGGAATGTTATTGGGGAAAGCCCCTACTAGAGAAGTTTTCAAGTTTGGGATCTATGATCTTGAGGGGTTAATTAATAATGTGTTGTTGCACTTGGGTGTTGTTTATATGCAAATTAGGCAAAAGTATTGTCTGAGAGGCTCTTTTGCTGCTAAATAACAGTATGCTTAGTCGATATTCTAAACTTCTCTAATTTACAAAGATTAGAAATCGAACTCAGTTACAAGAAGGCGAGCACACTATCTTGACCAACTGAACTAGCCCGTGTCTATCTATGCTTATGGCTCAGATCTCTTTTTCTTGTGTTGTGATTTGTTTTGTTTTCTTGGTTACAGATTACAGCTGCACTGGTTCATTCAATATCAATAAATCATGGGTTTGTGATTTATGTAATTATATTTTAAGAAAAATAAGTTGGGAGATCCAAGATATAAATGATGCAGAACCCAAATTGGAATAGGCTGATTATTGTGATCCAAAAATGGGTAAGCTATGCTGTACTTAACATAAGAATTAACGATCCACCGACACAGAAAAATTGTGAATGAACACGTGAGTCTCACACTGACACACGCATGAAATGCGAGTAAAGATGTAATGTTTTTGCCAAATGTTATCTATGTTAATTAATCTATTTTAACATTAATAATGATGGTTCAAGGGAAAACATTACAGCAATTGCAGATATATTTACAACGCTAAATGCGCCATTTCAATTCGTTCACAGAAAGATTACAGCAATTGCAGACTTTGCAGAGCCTGATACAGACAGTGCAGATACAAAATACTGCAGGTTACACCATTCTATTCTCCAGCCCTCACTTTTTTTTTTCCCCTTTTGCCTCTTTTTCTGGTTCATATTCTACTTTGTACAGAAGATATGCATGAAAATTGAAATCCTTCTAACAATAAAAAGCCTAGGAACAATGTATATTACTGTATGTATCACCCCATACAAACGTTTCACTTCACCAGCTCTTTAGAAATTAGATACCGAAAAGTGAAATTGTGAGGAATCCACTCAATGCTCTTACGAGATTTCACAAGCT